CCGGGCGGCCGAGGGCTCGCGGAGCGCGCGGCCGAGCAAACTTTTCCGTGCGGGCGGGCGCAGTGTGAGCGCTTTGGGGTCGCGCCCTCCGAGGTCTGCGCCCCGTGGGCTCGGGGTGCGGGGTCACCGAGGGTTTTGTTTCCTCCCCATCCCTGAATCTCCTCCAGTTGTTGGGAGTAGCATTTTCTAACTCGGAGGTGAAAAGACTCTGGGGCAGTGGGCCTGGGTGTGCCGGGGAACACAAGCTCGGCCTCACGCCGCTCCGCACATCGTGTCCCGAGCAGGCTCCACGAATGCGGGGGCCCGCGGCTTCTGCCACTTCAGTTTGGCTTTACCTTTAAATGGTCACTGGCCCCTTCCCCTCTCCACCTTACCCCGAGTCCTGACTAAGACAGATTGACCTCTGGTCCCCTCTACATCACTGCTCTCTGGACCTTTCTTCTCCTGCCCTGAAGTTCAGCCCCCAGCCACGCAGCCGCGACACGATGGGGGGCCAGCACTTCCTCCCTCACCCTGCCTTGGCTGCCTTTCCTCCTAGTGCGCCCACCACAGAGCTGCACCGTCACTTGGGCTTCCAACCGATCCTCTTGCCCCTGCCGCCCCCCATGCAGGGCCCTGGCAGACAGGGCACAGACACCCCTCAACCAAGGAGCCAGAGTCCTGCCACCTGCCCCTCTGGCATCTGCTGCATTTCCTGTCTGCCAGCTCATCGCTGGACCAGGGCAACTTGTTCTCTCCTTGCCCTCCTTTCCCCTCAGAGAAAGCGCTTTGGTGGGTCTTTCTGTCCCCAGTCATCCCTGCTGCTGCCAGTTAAGTTGAGATTCCTTACATTTTAGTCACCCAAGTTACCCACTGAGTGGAGGGAAAGGAAGGAGGCAGTCAGGCCAGCAGAAGGTGGGCAGTTTTGCTAGTGAAGTCCCTAGATCTCACTGTTCCTAGCTCTGACTCTGTCCCTTCTGTACCCACTCCACTGCCTTCCTCCCTTCTCCTGTTTCAGGGGAGGCCACACTGCCTTCAATGAGGGAAGGGGACCAGAACCCAGGCTTTCCTTTCTCTGGTCCTTGGGCAGCATTCAGCAAAATGGCGCTGGACTATTTTTGCAATATTTCTATTTTGCAAAGGGAGGGGCTCGGGGAGGCCTTAGGGCAAAGAAGTCAGAGTTAACAATCTACTCTTTCTTCCACGTTCCCCTTATTTTTTTCTTCTTCTCTCTCTTTTTTGATTGCACTTTAGTTCCAAATAACCTCACAGGGAGGTTATCATGCCTCCCCTATCTGACTGTCTTCTCTGATACCTTCTTGGCAACCCCCATTCATGGTTGTCACACAACCCTCCACCCTTCAGGCCTGCCCTATCCCTATGCAGGAAGAATAGCTGGAGAGGCCAGGAGCTCTGCGTGTCCCCTAGCCCTAAAACCCTGAATAAGGGAGCAGAGCTCCTTAAACAAACCAAGCCACGTGCTCTCCAGTGCCAGAGGCTGGTACACCTGCTGGCACAGGGCAACTGGGCAGTGATGACTCTGAGCCTCTGCTCCCCAGGTGGGATCTCAGAGAGGGCATCTTGGTGTCCAGGAGTGCTCTGGGGTACACACATGCTGCTGGGTGTTCCCACCCATGATCCCCCAAAGCAAGGGTTACAGCATTGAGTTGGAACAACAGGCAATCAAACCCAAACCCCAATCCTGAGCCTCTGCTTCCCCAACTGAGATGCAGAAGGAAGGCTGAAAACACAGGGGTGGAAGGGTGATTTCTGGGTGCATTTGAATTGTGCACATATGGGGGGCTCCCTGCATATGAGACCCACACGGCCTGCTGGCTGCCTGTGAGTGTCCTTCTGGGCTTCTGCTGATGGTGGTCAGGGTGTGGGAGGGCATGCCTTCCAGTTATCCACGCAGGACCAGCTTTGGGGCCTCCAGTGGACAAAGGCTGGAGAGGAATGGCTGAAGGGACAGAACTAAGACAGCCGGAAGGAAGGCAGAGCAGCAGCGCCGGCTGGAGGGACTATCCAAGCACAGCCAGTAGTAGGGGGAGGCAGGAGCTGCCGGAGAGCCTCAGCTGTGCCAAGACAAGGGCCACAATCAGCCACCGCAGGCTTAAGAGGCCCTGCCCAAGAGTGGGGACTTCATGGAGGAAAAAGGCCAGAGAGGCACAGAAAATGAGGCCACCTTGGCGTGTTATGATTTGAAAAGGTCTAAGAAGGTGGCTGAGGCATTGAGGTTGCAAGTGTGAGTCAGAGGCTGTGTAATGGAGGGGTCCCCTGAGTTCTTTCTCTTTGGGTGGATACTCTTACGAAGGGTATGGCCCTGGACTCTGGCATCTCTGAGCCTACAGCCCATTTTGCCTTGAGACCCCTGATGTGTGACACTTCTTTGACCTTGAGGCCATGCCACAGTTTCTGTGCCTGGGGTCCAGGGGATGGGAAGCCTAATGCCACAATTCCTCCTGGTCTCAAGGCCCTGGGCCCAGAGCCACAGCTCCTCCTCACATACCCCATCCCCAGGGGCAAATGTGGAGGCATGCACAGCAGTCCCACCCACCAGGCCCCTCACATGGGCCCAGGGAAACCCATCAGCTCTCCCCAGGCAGACGTCCGTCGCCGGCCCCCCAGTCCCCTCGCATCCCCAGCTTGCCCACTCATTCTCTTTCCCTCCCGAGCCCACGGCCTTCTCACTCACCAGCCTGTTTACACACCAGGTATCTCATGCTTTATCTGCTCTCATTTTGAATTTGTAACTTTCACATAAACTTGAACAAAGCTCCTTTTGTTCCTGCACCCCACCCCAGGATCCCAATAAACTGGTTCCCTCTGAGGCGACTGAGCCAGGGCACAGAAACCTTGGCCAAACGACTGTGTGTGCATGTGAACAAGCATGTTCGCACCTGCGAGGGAGCCCGTATGTTTGCGTGTGAGTGTGCTCCCCAGGCTGACGGCAGGAAGGTGTCAGGGAGAGCCTTGAGCCAGCAAAGTGTGGACGGGAAGGATGGTGGGGACGGAGGGCAGAGCCCAGACACCAGGGCACAGGGATGGGGTCTTCTGCCAGCAGGGCATGAGAGGTCATGGGCCCGGTGGGTGGGCGCTGGGGCAGGGGTTGAACAGTGATGAGGAGGAAACAAAGGGCAGAGAGGTGCAGCAAAGCGGGTGGTGGAGCGAGGGGCTGAGGCCAGGCTCAAACTAAGTGTAAGGCAGATCCAGGGATTGCATTAT